TCTCTCTCTCTCTCTCTCTCTCTCTCTCTCTCTCTCTCTCTCTCTCTCTCTCTCTCTGTTTTCCTTCTCTCTCTCCATGTCTCCTCAGAAGTCTACTTTACTTTTGACCACTGCCTCCCTAATCTCTACACTCTTCTTGTCCTCTTTTATCTTATCCCCATGCCTTCTTATTTCTCTGTAAGTTAAGACTTTTATACCCAATTTGATATATATATTATTCCTTCTTTAACCCAGTTCCAATGAGAATAAAGTTCCCATGCTTCCCATGACAGGCTCTCAGCTTTTAAAGTCAAATTTACTTGAGTGGGGAATGGGGGACGAAATCTTTTATGTCGGAAACAAATGTCCCAGTGTTGCAGACAATCCAGGGCACTATCCTGCCGGAGGGAGAAAAAGTCTGTAGGATGCTATAAGCAAAAAGAGACAAAGGCTTCTGCTGTAGAGGCTATCCCTGGAGGGACCAAGCAGGGTTTAGGGCTGGACCAGAAGGGTCTATTGAAGGATTCAAAGAGGCACTATCTGGTAACTTCCAATGTTAACTAATTATTGCTAAGTAGGGGCTAAGCTCAGTTGACTGTCTGAAGTAGCACAAGTATTGTTGGCATCCATTAAATTTTAGTGGGCAAAATCCCAATTGTCCCACACTAGTTATGGCTTGACTGTCCACTCCAACACAAGGTTGTTTTCCACAGACCTGGCCTACCTAGAATTCAGGGTTCTAACATGGGCTATGTAAATGCACCAACCAAGGTAAATTGTACAAGGTATAGCACTCATGAAGATTCACAAAAAGCTTCCCGCATGGTGCTCTAAGGGCATGGTGGCTTGGTAACAGCTAAGAAGAAAGGGGCTTTCTTCCAGAAAAAATTTTTGGGAAAACTGTTGTTGAACAAGATTTTGGTTGTAAGTTTTAGCTGATATGTGAAATAGGTTAGAGTGAGAGAGAACTTTCTAGCTGTTTTCCCATTTGTCAAAAACATTTATTCATTCCTGTATGTATGTATCTATGTATCTATCTATCTATTGCTTGCTCCCAGTTATTTAAATTCATATCTTCTTCTAGGGGCTAGATTATTATTAGCCCTGGATTACCATGATTCTTATAAGCAGTCACACTAGCTTTGGCTTCTCTGTTCATTTTTTTTTAACCTCCTCTCAGTCATACATTTAGGATCACAGAACCTTAGTTTTAGAACAAGAAAGGCCCATAGAAGCCATCAAGTCCAACACCCTCATTTTACAGAGGAGGAAACTGAGGTCCAGAGAGTTTAAGTGATTTGCCCAGGGTCACGCAGCTAGGAAGTATCTCAGTCAAGATTCAAACTCAAATCTTTTTTTTTGTTTTATTTTGTTTTTAGGCAATTGGGGTTAAGTGACTTGCCCAGGGTCACACAGCTAGTAGTGTCAAGTGTTTGGTCTGAGGCCGGATTTGAACTCAGGTCCTCCTGATTTCAGGGCCGGTACTCTATCCACTGCGCCACCTAGCTGTCCCTCAAATCTTTTTTATTCTGTCCAATGCTCTACTTACTATGTCACCTAACTAAAAGGTAAAGAAAATAATTACAATGACAATAACTCACATTTGTATAGTGCTTTAAGGTTTATAAAGACTGAAAGAGCTTTCCTCATACCAATCCTGTAAGGGAAGTATTACAAGTTCCCATTTTATTATATTATACATGAGAAAACTGAGGTTCAGAAAGAAGTCATTTGCCCAGGCTCACAGAGCTTGGAAGTGTCAGATCTCTAAGATCTCCTAATAGAGCACCTTACTTTGTCTATTGTTCATTGATTATTTAAAAATAATAATAACAATTTGACTGAAACTGATGCTTAAATACTTTGGCCACATAATGAGAAAATAGGACTCACTGGAAAAGACCCTGATGAAGGGAAAGATTGAAGGCAAAAGGAAAAGGGAACAGTAGAAGCTGAGATGGAAATAATGAACACGAACTTGGACAGCCTCTGAGAGACAGTGGAGGATAGAAGGGCCTGGTGCGCTATGGTCCATGGGGTCACAAAGAGTCTGACAAGACTATGTGACTGAACAACAACAACAGAAAAGCAAAACTTAGCATTAAAAGCTCTCCTTGAACAATTTGGAACTATGCCCAAAGGGCTATAAAAATGTACATACCCTTTGACCCAGCAATAGCACTTCTAGGTCTGTATCCCAAAGAGATCATAAAAACAAAAAAAAGACCCACATGTACAAAAATATTTATAGCAGCTCTTTTTGTGGTGGCAAAGAATTGGACATTGAGGGGATGCCCATCAATTGGGGAATGGCTAAACAAATTGTGGTATGTGAATATAATGGAATACTACCGTGCTATAAGAAATGATGAGCAGGTAGACTTCAGAAAAACCTGGAAAGACTTATATGAAGTGATGCTGAGTGAAATGAGCAGAACCAGGAGAACATTGTACACTGTGCGATGATTGACTTTGATAGACTTGGCTTTTCTCAGCAATGCAAGAATCTAAGACAACTCCAAAAAACTCATGATGGAAAATGCTATCCGCATCTAGAGAAAGAACTATGGAGTCTGAATGCAAATTGAAGCATACTATTTGCTCTCCTTTTCTTTTGTTGTTTTGTTTTATTGCTTTATTCTCATGGTTCCTCCCATCAGTTCTAATTCTTCTTTACATCATGACTAATGTGAAAATATGCTTAATATGAATGTATAAGTAGAGCTTATATCAGATCACATATCATATTGGGGAGGGGAGAGGAGAGGGAGGGGGGAAAATTTAAAACTCAAAATCTTATAGAAGTCAATGTTGAAAACTAAAAATAAATAAATAATTTTTTTACCAAAAAAAAAAAAAAAAGCTCTCCTCCCAATGACATGCCTCCCATACATATGCTAAGATCATACAAGATTCTTTGGTGGGTATAACCCCAAAGACAACTTTGTTCAATGATTCTCTGAGCATCATATCAACTAAACCAGGGGAAAAACATGCTTGTCAAAAGTACCCATCACCAAGGTCATAGAAGATATTATAAAGCCCAAATGGAATCAAGAAATCCCTATTATACACAGAGCTCTTCCAAATGCTCCTGTTTCCAATGATATTGTACTGATTACACTGAGCTTCAGAACCCTATAGGCTTCCTCAATAAAACACTGATTTTGAAAGGTGGAAGAGAACTTAGTAACCATCTGATCCATCCCATAAATAAAAGGAACCCCCACCATAACATAACTGACAAATAGTCATCCAGCATCTCCTCAAAGACCCCTGAGGAAGGGGAACTCTCCCCACCTCAAAGCAGTCTGTTCCACTTTTGGATAGCTCTAATTGTTAGAAACTTTTTTTTCTGGACGTAAAGCCCAAATTGCTTCTTTGTAACTTCCTGTCACTGCTTGAGGTCCTGCCCAAGTGGAACAATCTCTCCCCCAAATGACAGCCCTTTGAATACTGATACCCAACATGTCTCCCTTGAGCTTTCTTTTCTCCGGGCTAAACGTACCAAGTTCTTTCAACCATTCTGTATGACATAGACTCAAGGCCTTTTTCCATCCTGGTTATATTCCTCAGAACATGCTATGGTCCATGGGGTCACAAAGAGTCTGACAAGACTGTATGACTGAATAACAACAACAAAAACCGAAACTTAGCATGAAAAGATCTCCTTGAGCAATTTGGAACTATGCCCAAAGGGCTATAAAAATGTGCATACCCTTTGACCCAGTTTAACAGTGACTTTCTTAAACTATGGTGCCCAGGATTAAATATTAAAGTCTGACAAGGCCAGAGTATGGGGGACTATCACTTCCCCATTCCTAAAAGATATGTCTCTGAATACAGACTAAAATCACATTAATTCTTTTGACTGCCACATTGCACTACTCACTCATACTGAGCTTGTAGTCCACTAAAACCCACAGATCTTTTTCAGAATAACTCATCTCTAACCATGCCTCCCCAGTCTTGTACTTATAAAGTTGATTTTTTTTGTACCCAAGGGCAAAATTTCACTTTTATCCCTATTGCATTTCATTTTATTAGACTCAGACCACTGCTCTGATCTGTTAAGAACTTTTTGGATCCTAGTTCTGCCCCCGAAAATATCAGCTTGGTCATTCCTGCCAGAAAATTTGAGAGCATAAAGACTACGTTTTGCCAAGACTGTGACAGGCAGTTGAGTTTATTTCTTGGTAACCTGTCCTGTAAGTTTTGTTTTGATAGAACCTTGTTTGTGTGTCTCCGTTCCATTAGCAGAAAAGTTTATTTCACACCATTAACCAATTTTGTAGTACTGTATATCATACCCTCCTACATCATTCATCACTCAGAACAGTTTTATCCCATGAATAGAAGGTGTAAAGAAAGTATGCTGACTCATCTTTGTCAGTTTCACTTGAATTGGGATCAGAGGCATCTCTAAGAAAAAGAGAGAAGTAATAGAACTCTCCATATTTATTTATAAATTATGTATGTGTACTACTATACTAAAATATTGTGTACGTTACCAAACACAAAAAGAACTTTTAAAAAGATGACTAGATCAAGATGAAATAAATGATATTTTAAAATAATTGTATTTTTATTAACAATATAAAAACTTTTATGCTGTCACTAAAATTTATAACACTTTTCAGTGACAGCAATTTGAATATTCTGTCTCATTTTTGAAAATTGTTTAATATTGTATGATACAAAGATTCAATGGTCTGATTTTTTTTTAAGGCAACTGGGGTTAAATGACTTGCCCACAGTCACACAGCTAGTAAGCGTCAAGTGTTTGGTCTGAGGCCAGATTTGAACTCAGGAGCTCCTGATTTCAGGGCTGGTGCTCTATCCACTGAGCCACCTAGCTGCCCCCAATGGTCTGATTCTAAGCTCCATTTATTTCAGTACTTGGTTTCAATGGCTACCATAGGCAAAAAAGATGCAAAAGTATAACATTGCCTGCCCTTATTAAATTGAGATATTCCCTTTATCAACCTCATCCACAATTGTGCTAAGGTTTCTTTTGAAATTTGGCTAGTGTATTTCTATCTTCCTTGATGTTGGAGGGTGAGAACATGGAGAACGGTCCAGGCAATCATCCAGAAGCTTGATTGGGAAACTGAGGGCTTGGGACACAGAAAGTATACATTGCTGCCCCAGAGGGGGAAGGGGAGGCTCCAAGGACAGGTTCCTCATAAGGGGCCAGGCAGGAATACTCCCTCCCCTCTCATATGTAGGAGGAAGGAGCATGTAAGGGAAGGAGTGCAATTTTTTTATCATGATTATTACTCAACCTCTGCTTAAGTGAAATAGTCTCCAGGATTTCTTTTCCAATGCTTCCTCCTTCCAATCCTTCAAATTTGAAAAGAAAAAACACCGTCATTAGCTCCTTCACACTAAGATTTAAATGTCTACTATTATCTCTCTTGGATAGATGGGAAGGGTCACACAGCTACTAAATATCTGAGGCCACATTTGAACTCAGGAAAAATGAGTCCTCCTGACTCCAGGCCTGGCACTCAATGCACTGTGACACCTAGTCAGGAAAACCTGAGTTCATATCTAGACTGAGACACTTCTAGCTGTGTGACCCCAGGCAAATCACTAACTTCTGTCTGCCTTAGTTTTCTCTTTTGTAAAATGGGGTTGATAACAGCAGTTACCTCCTAGGGTTGTAGTGATGATCAAATAACATTTATTCATAAAGTACTTTGCTAATCTTAAAAGGATTGTATAGGGGAAGGTGGTATAGAGGAAAGTTACTGGCTTTAGAATCAAGAGGACCTAGGTTCAAGTCCTAACTCTGGTGTTTTAGGTCATGTGTGACGCTGGGCAAGTCATTTCTTTTCTTGGGTCCTCAGTTTTCTCATCTGTCAAACGATAGGTAATTTATAAAGTGCTTAATTTACTTAATAAATGAATTTGAATGACTCAGATAGGAAAGATGCTATGCTGTGGAGATAGGGGAATGGGAAGAGGGAGAAGTGTAACCATCAGGGTATCATACAGGGAAATTACATTATGTCTACTTCATATTTGCTAATTTGTTTCCTCTTGCCTTGCCCACTGTCCAAGCTTACACAGGAGAGGCAACAGCTGGAGAGCCCTCAATCAGGAGTCAGGAATACCTGAGTTTATATTTTGCTTCTGTCAAATTGGCTTATTGGCCATGTTACCTGGGGCAAAAACTGTGATGTGCATGTTCCTTGTTTCCACCCAACTTAGAGCAGGGGCTGATCTGTTTTAGTCTATCTCAAGCAACCAACACAATACCTTATTATATTGTGTGTTTGATCTCATCAGTACAAGGAATTATCCACGATGATGCAATTGTCAGAACTGGCAACCTCTGTGTAATTTAGCAATTTTCTAAAAGCATTTAGAGGTTACTGAGTCAGCATATTCATATTTCTCTGACTTGCCCAAGGTCAGACAACCAGTATGTGTCAGGCAGAATTTCCACCTCCAAGGCTCACCCTCAATTCACTATACTATACTGCCTCTGGCTTTGCCCATAGTAGGTGCTTAATGCTTCCTAAATTGGGGGCAGCGAGGAGGCACAGTGGATAGAGCACTGGCCCTGGAGTCAGGAGGACCTGAGTTCAAATGCGGCATCAGATACTTAATGCTTACTAGCTGTGTGACACTGGGCAAGTCACTTAACCACAGTTGCCTCACCCCCCACCAAAAAAAAAGCTTCCTAAATGGAATTGAATTACTCTAGTTCAGCAAAAGATTCTGGGAAATAGGAACCTGTCATTTGGATTGGAAAGGAAAATCTTCAGTATCATTCTCCCCTCTTCCTACAGTGAATCAATAACAAATCTCTCGTCTGTCACCCCTTTACCTTCCCCAAGTGATTTGAGTCATTCCTCTGCTTCTGAAACTGGGAAAATCATTGACTCAAAGGCATAATGATTCACAGTCAGAGGGAGCAGCATAGAAAAACTACAGAGATTGATGGTGATTTTTCTGTCCTTGTCTCTCTTTCAGACCCAAGAAGCAAAATGTTCTTCCTTCTCTCATTTCTGATTGTGGGAATGAAGCTCCGCCTGATAACAGGTAACGATAACAACACCAACCACAACTCTGTGAAGCAGGTGCACAAGTGTTATTGTCCAGGTTAGCTACAGCACATGGTCAGGAGTTCCAAACCACTGGTGACCCCAGTATCTTTGCATGATGAAGGTGAGCAAAAGGATATCCTCTCCTATGGAACACTTCGACTGTCCAGGCCATCAAGGAATATGTGAATGAATCAGACTCTTCCACTCAACAGAGGTCATGAAAGCCTCCATAGAGAGTTGTTCTCCTTCCCTCTCCTTCCACAAAGAGCCTCATATTTAGGATTAGATGCTGCAGGTCAAGCTAAACGTTTCCATCAAAGGAATTTTTTTTTCATTTCCAAATGTTAATGTATCTCACTGACATTTGCATTTCAAGAAAAACATTTTGTTTTAATACTATGATAGGGTTATTAGTAAGGCAGTTAGATGATATAGTAGATAGGGTGCTGGTCCTGCAATAAGAAAGACCTAAATTCAAATCCAGCCTCAGACACTTGCTAGCTGTAAGTCACTTGACACTGCCTGACTCAGTTTCCCCATCTGTAAAATGGGGATAATAATATCACCTAGCTGCAGGATTGTTGTGATGCTCAAATGTGGAAATGTACATAAATCACTTTGCAAACCTTAAAGCAATGTTAGCTTCTGTTATTATTATTAATGCCCTCCCCCCCCATCTTTTTTCAAAAAACTCATAGAATGTTAGAGTTGCAAAGTACTTCAGAGATCTAGTCATTTACAAATGAGAAAATGAAGTCCAGAAAAGGGAAGTGAGTTGCCGAAGGGTTTGCTGTGTCTTCTCTCTCTCCAAGAGAAGGTGGGATTTCCAGGCAATGTACTGAGCTAGGTGACCTGCCCACTCCTGAAATCATGTTGGGGTTGGGATGCCCAGTCTGAATCACCTTGCTTAGCATGAAGGTCTCAACCCTTCACTCCACAACCACTGCCATCTTCTTTCTTCAAAGTCAATTTGATTGTGTATTGATTTAGCTGACATGTTTCTCAGGGGCCCAGGGCAAGTCAAGGAATTTATTAATTTATTAATTGCCACATTGCTACTAAAGGATCACATCAGTCTGAGCACTGGGCAATGAACAGAAAATAGTAACAATAATGTCCAGCTAACATTATGTAAAATGCTATTAATACAGCATTTTTCAAATATCCCATTTTATTCTCACAACAACCGTGGGAGGTTCATGCTATTATTATTATCCCCATTTTATATATGAAAAAACTGAGGCAGGCAGAGGTTAAGTTACTTAGCGTCAGTCACATAGTAGGTGTTGGAGGCTGGATTCAAATTCAGGTCTTTTTGACTCCAGGTTCAGCATTCTATTTACTATGCCATCTAGCTGTCCCTATATGCAGGAATATATGTTTCATCTGCCATGTAGACATTCCCAAGTCACAGAACTCCTGAACCCTAGGCTACACGGAGTTCATCAGAATTTTCACTAATCTCGGAGCCCTTGGTTGAGGTGACCCAAGGAATTACTGTCAGTCACTGTAAGATTTTTATTCAATAAGCTGCATAATTCAGTGATTTGTTTGTAGTATCCTGGAGTTGTTATAACTGCTAACTCAGAGCTATGCCACATTGCAAAAACACAAAACTTCACACTTCTCAGGAAGCCTTTAGTGGGGGTGTTCCTCAAGCCCCTGGCTCTGCTAGCTAACAGAAGAATACATAGGGATAAGCTTTCTTTGCACAAAATCGAAGGGAAGGGTCTGATGTGAGAGGAAAATCACATTAAATCTCAGTAAAGAGATTCTGGATTTTTCCTTTTCCAATCTGAAACAGACAGTGCAACACAGCTGTATCCATCAATGGGCATTTAGTATGAGTCTGAGCACTTACTATTATTTGAATGGAATATTTGAATAAAGCTTCCTTTCATAGCTACCTGGCACTCAGAAGTGATATCAAAATAGCTAGCTTCTCTTCAAACAAAGCAGAAGACAGTCAGTCAACAAGCATTTATTAAGTGCCTATTATGTTCTGGTGACCATGTTAAATGCTGGGGATTCAAAGAAAGGCATAATATGAAATAAAGCTGGAAAGGTAGGACAGCCAGATTTTGATGGACTTTTTATGCCAGACTGAGGAGTCTGCATTTTATCTTAAAGGCAATAGTGAGCCAATAAAAGTTTTGGGGAAATGGAATTTGATAACTGAACCCTAATCACTCCAACAATCTTTAGCCTTCATTCATTTAGCCAATCACTTTGCATTCAGTGAAAAACCATTAATAAACACTTACTAAGGACATCTTCCCAAGATACCACCCCATTTCCCAAAGTGAATGTGAGAGACGATGAGGAGTATAGAATGACACATACATTGATTGCTAGGCTGGGTGGCTGGGAAGATTATTTTGGCAGTTGTGTGGAAGCAGAGAGATCAGTTGAAAGTTTATTGCCATAGTCCAAGAAAGAAATGAAAACTTGAACCAATTGGTGATCCTGTGAATAGAGAAAAGACGACAATGGTGAGAAATGTTATGTTTAACAGGAATTTGCAATGAACTGGATGGGTGAAGTAAAAGAGAGAGAAGAATCAAAGATAAGACTCAAGTTATAAAACAGGGTAAGTGGGAGGATTATGGTGCCTTAAACAGAGAAGGTTCAGGTTTATGGGAGAAAATACTGAGAAGAGTTTTGGATATACTGAGTTTTAGATGACGATGAGACATCCAGATATTCACCAGCCAGGATTGGAGACATAAGCACTGAGTATATTAGGATTTGGAAGTCATCTGCATTGAAATAATAATTGAATCTAGCTGACTGGCATCTACCTTCTGAGACATTTATTAATATGCCATTATATCTGTGAGAAATAATTCATTTACACCCTTACTCTATTTCATTCAGTATCAATCAATTTGACATGATTCCATAGGAGTAGTGATTATAAATTCTATATATCAGGTCCCAGAGTTGTGAGCTACAAATTATAAGATCACTTGTGTAATCATAAGAAACTAGCTAGAGGCACTCCATCCTTGTTTTTCCTTATCATGGTGAACCAAGCCCAGTGTGATGGAGGTGACTCAATTACATGGAAAGTCCTCCAATTTATTTTTGTACTTATGTACCATTCTCTTTTGTCCAAACTGAGCAACTGACCATCTTATGACCATTTAGTCAGTGGAGATGCCCCATGCTTTACCTAATCTGTGGAACACCCTCCCCTGCTGATGTGTTATTTTTGTCCCTCAAGAGCAAAGTCTATCAGCCAATCAGATTCTATATTTTAACACACCTTTTTTTTTGCATATTTGGGTATCAAACTCTATAAATACAAGGTCCTGGAAGAATGGGGCATCTGAGATCATGTGAAAGATCTAAGGTTCACTTCATTAGAGGGGACCATGGACAATTTAATAAAGTGCCATTGACTAAAAAAAAAAAAGGAAATAATGATTGAATCCATGGACAAGATGAGATCACTAGTGGAAGAAACAAGTATAGAATAAGAAGAGATGAAAGTCTAGGACAGAGCTTCAGGAAACACACACACTTGAAAAGGGGAGGGCTTTAGTTTAAAAACATCTTTTTTTCTAGACCTGGAGCTCAATATCTGGTAAAGTCAGTCAATTAGCTAGCATTTATTAGGCACTTCCTATTTTCCAGGAACTGTGCTAAGTCATGGGGATACAAAAAAAAAAAGGCAAAAGACAGTCCCTGCTTATAGTCTAATGGGGGGGAGACAACATCCAAACAATTATGTACAAACTACATATGTGTACACACATACACACACACACACATATTAAACTGGAGATAATCAACAAGGGAAAAACATTAGAATTAAGTGGTGGTCAGGAAGGGCTAATCGCAGAATGTAGGAATTTAAGACTCAAAAGAAGCCAGAAAAGCTAGGAGGTAGAGATGAAGAGGGAGAGAGTTCCAGGCACGGGGAATAGCCGGCACAAATGCTCAGTCTGGAAATGAAGTGTCACATTTAAGGAACAGCAAGAAGACCAGTGACACTGAACCACAGTTTACCTACTGGGGTGTAAGGTGTAAGAAGACTGCAAAGGCAGGAAGGGGGCAGGTTATAGAGATCTTTATAAACTAAACAGAGGATTTCATATTCGATCCAGAAGGCAATAATAAGTCACTGGAAATAATGTAATGGGGCATGGATGTGGGTGGGGATTGTGACATAGTCATACTTGCACTTTTGGAAGATCAGTTTGACAAATCAGTGGAAGATGGACTGGAGTGAGGGGAAACTTGAGGCAGGGAAATCTACCAACAGGAGGAGATGGAGACCTGCACTAGGATTAGCACTGTCCTGGTGGCACCATCAGAGAAGAGAGAAGGCAGTGTATATGGGAGATGTTAAGAAGATAGAAATGATAGGACTTGGCAACTCATTGGATATGGAGGGTGAGAGAGAGTGAGGTGTCCAGAAAGACACTAACATTACTAACCTGGGTGACTGGGAAGGTCACCTTGCCCTTAGCAGATGTTCACAGACAGTTTTTTGATGGAATGAATAAATGATTGGGGTAATGCATGAAGACTAAAGATTGATGAAGTGTTTAGGGTTCAGTTATTAGATTATCATGGAAAGGCTCCCAACAAGGATCATGGGTCCACACATCTGGAGCTATAAGGGACATGGGAAGTCATCTGGTCCAAACCACTCATTTTACAGATGAGGAAACTTGGAGCAAAGGAGGTTAAATAATTTGCCCGAGGTCCCACAGGTAGGAAGTATCAGAGGTAAGATTTTAACCAGATCCTCTTATTTCAGAAGCAGTGTTTTTCCACAATACTATAGGAAGTTTAATTTGACATGAGACATAATTAGGAAGGAGCCCCATTGCAGGATCTTAAAAAGGAGGTAGCTTGATAAATAGTGTTTGATGAGGATGATTTTTGATTGACTGTATTGAAAAGGAAGTGGAAACAAGGATAGTTGCGTTAGCCCAGGTATAGGATGTTTAGGGATGTAAGAAAGGGCAGTGACAGTATATCCAAGAAATAATGCAAAAGGAAGAGTTGCAGATACACGGAATGAGAGGAGGCAAAAGAAAGAGGAACCTCAGATGAAGTTATGAGGCCACAGATTATAGATTCAAAGACTGTAACATTCAGAAGCATCCTTAGAGACCATCTAGCCCAAACATTTTACAGAAAAACCTGAGATCTAGATTAGGATAAGTGACACTCATTGACATTACAACAATAGTGACAGAGTCTCTTAATTTCTATTGAAGTGATCTGTTCACTGTATCAGGCAATCCATGGGGATGATAGAGGACTAGCCTTTTTTGTCCCAACTAAGACAAAATTGGGGTCTGTAGGCAGATAACGCCACGTTAATTTTGTTTTGCTTTCCCCCTAGGTTTATTTACGGTGACGGTTCCCAAGGAACTGTATATAGCAGACTATGGTAGCAATGTGACAATGGAGTGTAACTTTGACACTGGTGGACAAGTGGACATTGACGCATTAAGAGTCACTTGGGCAAAGGATGAAAGGAAAATTGTGAATTTTTCTAGTAAACAGAAAGACCTGGAAATTCAAAGTGAGCACAATGAAAGAAGAATGACGTTGTTAGAGGACCAGCTGTCCCTCAGGAAGGCCTTGCTTCACATTAGGGATGTACAAATAATGGATGCTGGCCAGTACCACTGCCTACTTCTCTATAGGGATGCTGCTGACTACAAGTACGTCACTCTGCAAGTAAAAGGTTGGTTATCTTGTAAGGGTGCATGAACATATATGAAGGTGGGTAAGGATGTGTAAGGATAAAAGGGTGAATGAAGGTATCTTCCAGAATGTGTGAGAGCCTTTGAATCTTGGACACAAAGGGCTCCAGTTCTGGCCTTAATCAGACTTGGTTCCATTCCAGAGGAGGCCTGACCCCACAGAGGGTGGCAGACATTTTCTTTGTATTTTCTGGTTCATCCTCCTAGAAGAGGTAATCTTTTTCTCCACAAAGGCTATAGTTGCAGGGAACACTTCCCAATGTTGGGCAAGCAGCACCCAAATCAATGACTCTACACCTCTAGAGCTCATGAGGTAGCTACCAAATCTGAAAGCAGTAATCTTCTGGAATCATTGTTTGATGACCTGTGTTCAAGGAAAGAAAACACAAAGCCAAAGAGGCAGCCAAGAATTTGAGGTCTCATCTCAGGCTCACCTAAGCAAGCATCTGTTCTCATGACCATGAATGTGGCTGCCATAGCTATTACTGGGGGACAAGTGAGAGGTGAGAAAACTCTCCCCATCTCCTCCATGAGGCCTTTCCTGGTCTTCCCAATTATTTAGTGCCCTCATCCCCAAATGACACTGAAATTACCTTATATATATATTTTTTGCATTGATTTATCTGTGTATATTTTGTTTCCCTCAGGAGACCCTAAACTTCTTAATGGAAAGAACTCTTTTGTCTTTGTATCTCCAGTGCCTAACATAATGACTGGCACTTACTAGGTCTTTGGTAAATGTTCCTGATTCACTTAAGCTGTCCAACAGTGAAAGAGGCTACCCCCAAAGAGTGTGGTCTCACATTCTTTCAGAACACCATATTAGTAAAAGCTGAGTGGTCATTTGTTATGACTGATATAGAAAAGATTACTCCTCGAGTATGAGGCTAGATCCAGTGACTCCTAACATCTCACCTCTTAAGAATCTATGATATATGATTCCACGAAAATTGCTCATCTTTTCTTAAGAAACTTACCCTCAACCTAACTTCCACATTTTGTGGTAGGTAGGTGAGTAACACTTCCATCCCACTTCTCAAACAAGAAGTCAATGTGATTTTTGATATGCTGTATATACTTAGATGTGTACATGCTCTTTCCCTGGATAGAAGGTAAACTTCTTGACAGCAGAGATTGCTTCATTTTTGTTTTTGTAACCCCTGCACTTAACACCCAGCACATAGTAGGTCCTTAATAAATGCTAGATGATTGGTTCCAAAATCCTGATGGTTTTTTCTACCAAACTTCACTCTTTTATGTTCTTTCCTTTCAGCCTCCAATTCAAATCTCTAATCCACCCACTAGTCATTTTCTGACTAGGTTTGTTGTTTCATCATTTCTGTCATGTCTAACACTTCATGACCTCAGTTGGAGTTTTCCTGGCAAAGATACTGGAATGGTTTGCCATTTCTTTCTCTATTTCTTTTCACAGATGAGGAAACTGAGGCCAATCAGGTTAAGTGACTTGCCCAGGGTCACACAGCTACTAAGGGTCTGAGGCTGGATTTGAACTCAGATCTTATGGAGTCTAGGCCCAGTGCTCTATTCACTGCTCTACCTAGTTGCCCTTCTGACAAGGTTATTCTATTCAATTAAAAAAAAAACCTTTATTGCAACCTTCTAGGTCCTAGCTTTTCTACTTTTGTTCTCTTTCCTGAAAATGGATACCAAAGTCACCATTTCATATGGTGCTATACACACAGTAAACATTTTCTGTAGATGAGGAGGAGGAGGAGGAGGATGATGATGATGGCAATGGCAATGTTTGCCTAATGTTCCATTCATGTTTCTCATTAATATGGAGTATTTCTCTATGTATCAGGATCAATGATTTTCACCCTTAACTAGTGAGTGGTCTAAGAATTATATAAACTAAGCTGCCTTTCAGTCCTACCCAGGTAAGTAAAACCATCACCACTCTTGTTTATTGCTTCCATTCCCAGCTTTCTATTTTCCCCATTCATCCCTATGCCTGAATAGGCTTTCATAAAAATGTATTCATTTAATCATTCATTGATTCATTCAACAAACACGGCATATCTACTGTGTGCAGAGCACTGTTATAGGTGCTAGAAGCAATCAGGTTTAGAGAAGGTAGGGCCCCTAGCTTTTGTGAAATTTACACAATGGTAAGTTACAATGTTAATTTACATAATAGTAATAGTTAGGAGAAAAGACACAAGCACCAACAACCATAACACACACTGCTACATAATTTAGTGTGTTAGTGAGTTGCAAACCTCATAAAATTCTACTTCCTTCCAAAAAGCCTTCTCTGCCTTTTGGAACTCTGGTAATTATTTTCTCCACTTCTCACCCAATGCCAACAAGCAACTCATATTTTCCACAGCTTACTGATGTCCACAAATTAAGTCAATATTTACTGAATTAATTTTAGTTTGGTCCCTTGCTATATCATTTTCTCTGCATTGTACAATTTATCTTTGTATAAAATAACTAACATTTATCTAGTGTTTTAAGATTTGCACAGCACTTTGTAAATATTCTCTAATTTTATTCTCACAACAACTCTGGGAGGTAAGTGCTATTATTATCCCCATTTACAACTGAGGAAACTGAGGTAGGCAGAGGTTAAGTGACTTGCCCAGGGTCATAGAGCTAGTAAGTGTCTGAGGCAAGATTTGTACTCAGGTTTTCCTGACTCCAGGTCCAGCACTTTATCCACTGAGCAGCCAACATCACCAATGCCTGTTTTAGGTCTTCAGTGTCTAACTTTTTTTGGGTAATAATATACAGAGAACAATTAAGTGTGTGAACAAGCTAAGTAAATACCATTAGCTCATGATTATTTGAGGGTATCTAGTCCCTGTTTCTCGCTTCTCCTCCAGCAGAAGAAATGAAAGAATCCTTGCCCTCATAGAGCTTATATTTTCTTGCTAGTTGCCCCTAGGAAAAGCTTTAGTTGAAACAGTTAAAAAGGTTCTCAGAGTTTTAACAATTTTTCAATTCAATAAATACTGTCAACTTCTCACAGTTTGTTTTAAGAAAAACAAACGAAATTAGGCTGTGTCCCCACATTTTTATTTCTCTCAAGCTGGCTTGACAAATATTACATTGGAGTTACAGTCCAAAATTGGGCCCCCCCTAAGGGGGCCAATTCAGAACTGGCTCAATTTGGAGGTTGGGGGTAAAGGGTTATATGCCCTTCCAAGAGTAGGTGTTCCCAAGGGGTGCCAATCAACTCTGATTGGTCAACACATTGGGAGGTGGGCTATATTAAAATGAAGGTCTTGAGTATGGATTTAGGTCACCTAATCCTGGTACAAAACCTTTTCAACCAGAACTGTATCGCCCCTGCCCACCATTCTACTTCCAGACAAAGGAAATACCTGTTCTATCAGACCACTCTCCCCTCCCCTCCCCCCCCGTCCATTCCCAGTGTTGGCCTATCTAGGCAGAAGAATCTGTCTTCACCCAAACCTGGGCAGCTTCCAATGCAATCTCATTATCAGTAATGTCCTGAAGAACTTTCCAGAAGAGGGCTGTCTGGGAGTGAAGCTCTGAGAATCATTTTTCACAACACTTGTTAGTCTTCTACTATGTACAGGGCTCTGCTAGGCAGAAGTTATTATATTTCCTCTCCTGGATATGATGTCATTTGAGACCTATGATGATGATCACAGTTTCCTTTATTTTTAATAGCAAGAGAGGAGACTCCTTGCCTCCCAGTAGATCATAAGCTCCTTGAGGGCAGGAACTGGCTCATTTTTTGTATTTATACTTCATATATATATTTCTGCCTAGCAGAGCCCTGCACACAGTAGGTGATTAATAAGTATTCACTGAATTAAAAAATCAATTAAAACCCTTAGAATACCTTTTTAACTGTTTCAACTAAAGCTCTTCCTGAGGGCAACTAGCAAGAAAATGTAAGCTCTATGAGGGCAAGGAAGCAAAGAATAAATGAAGTAGAGAAGGAAAACTTACTCCATTTTCATTTTTCCTAGCTTCCTACAAGACAATAAATACTCAAGTCATCAGGGTCCCAGGAAGCAATGAAATGGAGTTTACCTGTCAGTCTAAAGGCTATCCTCTGGCAGTGGTATCCTGGCTAAACATCAATGAATCTGTGAATACCACCCACTCGAAGACCCCTGAGGGTCTCTATAACATCATCAGTGTCCTGAGGCTAAAGGAAAACACCCATAGGAACGTCAGCTGTGAGTTCTGGAATGAAGCTGCCCAAGAAAGGACGTCTGCTATTGTGAACCCTATTTTAGGTAACCATTGACTCCCCTTTCAAACATCAGTGGCTGCCAGTGGAAGGGGGGTGCTTATCAAATGCTTTTTCGGCAACAACATGTAATCGAGGCAAGTTCAGTAACTCATTTCCAGAGACTGCAATCTCATCTTGCTTTTTCCTTGGGAAACCTAGACCCTTACTGGTGATAACCCACATTTTGATGTCTCTTAGGACATAGCTCTGTTCTCACAACAACCCTGTGAGTATTTTTATTCCCTTTTTACAGATGAGGAAACTGAAGCAAAGTAACTGACTCATAATTGCACAGCAAGTAAAGGTCAAAGTTGACGTATTCAAACTCAAGTTTCCTGAATCTGAAACCAGAGCTCTTTCCATAACACCTCTCAGGCTCTTAAAAAAGGGCTTCACAATTAGGTTGGCCAGTTTTCTTTACAAGAGCCCTTGGCTCTAGGCAAAATGGCTTATTGTCCTCCAAATACTTCTTGACTTTTCCACACCCTCTCCTCTCTGTTTGCCTAAATGTTATATGCCCTTCAAGAACCAGCTAGTATGCCTCTTTCATAAAAGTTTTCTAGATGACTCAGTCTTACCTCCTCTACTGACCAAGTTGGCATATGCTGTCTTTTGTCTCTTTTTCAGGATGCCTTGCTGCTGGTTGGCATCTTCCTGCCTATAACCTCAGCTCAGTTATTTACCAACTATATAATTTTGGGCCAATAACTTAATCTTCTGGGCTTCGGTTTTCTGATCTGTAAATTCAGGGTGTAGGCCAGATGGTCTCTAAGGTCCTTTCCAGTTTTAAATGCTTTGTTCTAAAGGGACTTCTTTGGTACTTTTCCAGTTGTGTGGCTATTGGAGTCAGTCTTTTTAAGCCTCTGTTTTCTCATCTGTAAATGGGAATAGTTAGATGGTGTGGTGAATAGAGTGCTGGGACTGGAATCAGGAGGACCAGAGTCCAAATCCAGCCTCAGACACTTTAGAGCTGTGTGACCCTAGGCAAGTCACTTATCCTCTGCCTCAACTTCCCCAACTGTAAAATGGGGAACAGGAGAAGGAAATGGTAAACCATTCCAGTATATTTGTAAAGAAAACCTCACTGGGGTCACAAAGAGTTGGACCATATTAAAAATGACTTAACAACAAAAAGGGAATAGTAATGAGTACAGAAAGTTTTAGAAAGGGGAGTAATAACAATTACAATCATTATCCTTATTTCTACCCATTGGGCTTACTCCAGACACCTGAAGCTGTGCAAAAACCTAATCTCTCTTCCAGATGCCATCTCTCAAAGATCTGAAGACCGTAGCTTTGTCATTCCTTAGGTCTTCTCTTCTCCAGGATAAACTTTTCCAGTTCCTTCAAACATTCTTATACGACACGGCAATAGGAATAGGTATGGCTCTGTCCCAGAGTGCCCTTGATCATTCTTCTCCCTCTACACACCGTCAAGGTTGCATCAGTGACTTTGATAGTGTGTTCAGTATTTCCCTCTTTGGCTATTATAAATTTATTACCTGGTCACTTTCTTCCAAGGTTCCCGACATTTCCACGTCACCAACCAATTCTTCCTTGTTGGTGAGAATTAGATCTAGAATAGTAACTTATCTCATCACTTCCTCTATTTTCTGAGTAATGAAACTATTAGCAGGTGAAGCATTTGTCAGATTCTCTGCTTTTCAGCAGAGTAAGCCTTCTAATAGATATCCAAATCATTCCTATTATATCTTGTTTCTGTGCTAGTTTGAAATTCTTTTCTTTTTTTTTTGTAATTTTCACTTTTTTGTTATTCTTAACATGGCAAACACTTCAACAAACATTTCCATCTACAAAGGATAGAAAAGTAGGGTTTTATATGAAACCGTGAATCTGTTATATACTGATTAGTTTTTTAAAGTATATAATAAATGCAACACATTAATTCCAAAGCTGTCTTTGTTCATTATGTCTTCCACTGAACCTCCTTGTGTTCTCTTGTGCATTTTAATAAATGCTATACTAGCACTTTTTTCTTTCCTTTCTTCTTTTTTTTGGCATCTCTATTATTACTCTCTCTCTTCCCCCAAATTCTCCCTCCACCATCCCCAACCCTGGACAAAAAAAAGGATTTTTTAAACTTTACCTTACAACAAATAAGCACAGTCAATCAAAACAAATCCACAAACATTGGCTATGTCCAAAAATGTACACCTCATTCTGTATCTCTAAATCATCACCCCTCTGTTGAGAGGTAGGAAACACGTTTTATCACTGGTCTTCTGAAGTCTTGGCTGGTCATTGTACTGATCAGAATTCTTAAGTTTTTCAAAGTTGTTTTTCTTTACAATATAATGGCCAATGTATAAACTGATCTCGTAAGTCTATTCATTTTGCTTAGCATTAGTTCATGTAAGTTTTCCTGAGCTTTGATGACTTCATCCCTTTTGCTATTTCTTACAACACAATGATATAATTGCATTCATATTCCATGATTTGTTTAGCCATTCTCCAGTTGATGGGCACTCCCTTATTTTCCAGGTCTTTGCTATAACACACACACACACACACACACACACACACACACACACACACACACCCCTTGCTGCTCTGGATATTTATGTGCTTATAGATCTATTATTTCTTTTTTTTATCTCTTTAGGTTTTTGTAATATCTCTCAAGAGAAATTTGTGTATATGCTCCTTTTGGCAAGATAGCCAATAGTTTAAACCCACAATATTTTCCCCTCTGTTTATGCTCACCCCAATGCTCTGTTTTGTGTATCCATCCTCAGGTTCATGGATTTCCACATCTTTTCTGACATAATCTGATCTTTTTTCTTTTGAGAAAGGCATAAGCTTCAATGATTCAATTAAACTCAGGAAGCATTTATTAAGTATCTTCTCTGTGCCTGGCACTGTCCTACGTGCTGGGATACAAAGACAAAAATTAAATAGTCCTTGCCCTCAAATAGTTTACCTTCTGTGAACATCTTAGATGCTCAATGCATATCTATTGATTGATTCGATGCTACTGGTGCTGGGTCATTACACTCCCAACACCCTCCCCTAATGGATTGTGTTGACATCTATGCAAGGGCAGGAAAACTCTTTGGTAGCTGATAGTGCCCCTGTGGTTCTATGGTTTCCTGATGTTGATACTATCAATGACTTCCCTGCAGTCACATTACCTACAAGCCTCTTAATTTCTGTTTCCTAAAATGCTTCATGTGTTTCCACTCCACTGCACTTAGGCTTGTTTGCCTCTTCTCTACCATCCATATCCTCACCAGACATCTGTTCTTGGCTTCTTAGGGTGACCACACTCTGCTCATAATTGGAGTGGTTGACAGCCCTTCTCAATGTATCATCAAGGCAAGCATAAGGGAAAATTGTGAACAAGTGTACCTCAGCAGCTTATGGAATGACTTAAGATATATCCAAACTCTAACCAGAACTTAACCATTAGCCACTCAGTGATATTTGACTCAGCCACTTAGTGATATTTGACTCCTTAGATCATTTTTTTTTGTTTGCTTAAAACAGAATTTCTTCCTTGCAAGTTCATTTTTTTTAAAGTACATTGGGGGAGATTTTTCAAATTCATTTTAAACTTAAATACAAAACAAGAAAAGAAAAAAATTGTTGTGTACACAGCAGAACATAAGAAAGGATTCAATATAAAACAAATTTCTATTTCAAGAAAACCTATATAATAAATACTACACATTATTTTCAATGCTGCCCAGCTTTTCTTTGCTTCCTCATAGGTATTCTTTTGTTCTCTGTTGTATACTTTTTACTTTATTATTTCCCCTCCTTCCCCACTCCCCTCCCTAAAGAAGGTTATATTATATATATATATACACATATAGATATATATAAACATACACATATACACTCATACACATGTATGTAAGACTGTACTATGCTTATTTCTACCTGTTATCTGTTTCTCTAAAGGTAAATAACATCTTCCTTCATAAGTCTAAGTCTTTCCATGTTCTTAAATCAACCAGCTCATCATTTCCTACATCACAACAGCATTCCAACACAATCACATCCCATCTGAAAGATTGTCTATGAAAGTTTCCCCCCCAATTTTCTGCATTCCTTCTATTCTTGACTGCGTAGGTTTTA